GGAAGAAACTAACTTATGAATGACATATAAGTCTAACCATGTAGTTTCAGTATATTTCATCAACAGAAACACTCTTAATACTTCATATGCAAGGAACTAGATGGATAATGTGCTGTTTTAGATTTATTTTCCTATAAATTGCTCTTTTTCATTTCATCAAGTTTAATATGACTCAGACAAAGTCTTTCCAATTTGGTTTCTTCCTAAATTCTGTGCATCTTATTTTAGAAATTCTCCTTCTGCACAAAAGCTACAAATAAGAGAGCCCCTAAGAGCCAACCAGCATGAAACTACATCATCTTGTATCCCCTATCCCTTCTTTGGATGGACCTTCATTTTCTACAAAGTGACTTCAAATGAAAAATCACAGCATCATTTGAAAGTAACACCACCATCTCTTCCATAAACACAAGAGGGATGACATTCTTCTCTTCCAGAGAAGGATCCCTGGATGGAGGAATGAACTTGCTTCTCCATTCTTGGCGAGTTCTTTAATCACCAGGCTTTCAGGAGGAGTAGTAGTTCATTACCACTATTCTAAAAAGTGGCGGTTGTTACTGTGTATTGTGGTTTTCAGTCAGATGCGTGAGCATGCACATTTAATGATGAACTAAAATTAATGATGCCCAACAAGCTGACAAATTCTGTAGTAACAAAGCAACTACAAAAGAACTTTAATACCTATTCGGAAAATTAGTTTTGTGAGTATTAATAAAGTTACCCTACAGGGTATCCTCAATTGCACCCAATGTGTCAACACAAAAAAGACTCAAATAAAAGAGAACTAAAAATGTACTATAGAAAAAAAAATCCTAAGACTAAATAAGCTGGTTAAGCTGTAAGACAACGTAGATACTGTTACTGCTTATAAATCAGCAAGGTCTGAAGCCTAAATACCCAGAATGTAAAACTTACTTTCAATGTTGAACTCATAATTATTCTTAAATAATTTAATATGAAAAGGTTACCTGCTGAAATAAGGAAATTCTTTTTCCAATAGTAGATGGAAAGTCTTGTTCACACACAGAGCTCTGAGAAAAAGTGTGCCACACACCTTCATCTTCAAAGCAAAGTGTCTGATAGAGACCTGGGAGAGAAATCTACAAAACAAATAATGCATATTTAACAAGAAGAATAGCCATTTGGACACTGTGTATTTCAATTAATTTCCAAATACAATTATGACCCTAAACCTGTAAATCACAGAATGTTAGGAGTTGGAAGGGACCTCAAAAGATCATCCAGTCCAACCTCCCTGCCAGAGCAGGATCATCTAGACCAGGTCACACAGGAACGCGTCCAGGTTGGTTTTGAATGTCTCCAGAGAAGGAGACTCCAAAACCTCTCTGGGCAGCCTGTTCCAGTGCTCTGTCACCCTCACAGTAAAGAAGCTTTTCCCCATGTTCACATGGAACCTCCTATGCTCCAATTTGCTCCCATTGCCCCTTGTCCTATTATTGATATATTCGTGTATATCACATAATTTAATTTTATCCTCAGAGTTGAAAAAGAGTAGGTTTTTAAATTAGCCACTTTTCTACTTATTACTTCAAAATGCTTAGTCTGTATTTGCTCTGCATTTTTGTTTCTAAACATCTAGGTTCCTTAAACCTTTTCTCTAGGTTTTTAAACTTTTGGCTCTACCCAATTGTAGGCTTTTAATCATGACCAGATTCTTTTTCTATCAGAACATGATACTGCTTGACCCACTTTCTGTTTGTTTAAACCCCTAATAATCATGCCTGCCACACCATTATTGCAATTGTTCCTAATCTCTGGTGAAGAGAAAAATAATCAACTCTGGATTTAGCAGCAAAATTCATTGCCAAAGACCTGTCGAGGTTTTCCTTCTTGTTGCTGAGCTACATGTAGGAGGAGAAGAGCCTAAGACAGAATTTCAGGGACTTCCAACCCAAACCATTCTATAATTCTATGATTCTATGACTAGCATTTTCATTTAATTCCCTTCAGGATCAGAGGACTTCAACACTAACTGCTGCAGGATGAATCAATGCAAGAAAGTGTTGGGGTTTTTTATTATTTAGTTTGAAATAACTTGATCTGAGCCATAAAAAACTCTGAAACACCTTTAAAGATGTGCATGGAAATCTAGTGAGTAGAAAACTAGTTTCTCAATTAACAGTTTATGGTTTTAAATACAATATGAAGTGGCTTGTGAAAGTTATTACATTAAAGAAACCTGCAAATTAAATATTCTTTGCAATTTTTCCTCTGTATATTTTCCTATCTAAAGAAATTGTAGTACCTTGAGTAGGCTTACAGTACTTCCTAATCTCAGTAAGATGACAGATTCATTCACATGCACTGAAATTCATTGTTAGATGGTGTAGAGATATACATGAAAAGGGTCGGAAAACTTAGATGAAATTTAAAAAAACAAACAGGTTATTTTTTTTCAAATGGGTATATATTAACCATGGTTTCTGGAAAACACAATAAACAGTTTTAAATAACAAAATATTTCCATCTGATAAATACACATTTGAGTATTCAAGTACAAGTTACCGTTTGCTACAACCAAAGGCTTTTTAAGTTAAATTCAACACATCACATGATGTATACCTTCAATGATGCTACTGCCCAGGCTCGGTCCTGTTCTATCCAACGGGGAATCTGGTCACGAACACTTCTTTGTGAATCCTTATTGAAGCAAGTTATGTTACACACATAAGTTACACAAATTTTTGTGAATCAGCATATTCAGTAATAAGACTGCAAAATCCATGGTTTTAATAAAAACAACATTCATGACAGGAATCTTTCTGTGGTGTTTTGTAAAGTTCATTAAATGTCATAACAAAACAAAAGCTACAAATTATTTAAATTTGAGATGTACTGTTCACATTAACATTTGCTTAACCACTTGACCTTGAAAATATCAATTTGAGTATCCATATGACACACTCAACTCAAAGTAGTTTTCTTTTCCATTAAAGATAAGTGAATTGTAAAGACTATAGTGATGAAGAGGGACTTCTATGTTCACACTGAAATGCAACACCTGAGTCATCCAAGGGCTAGAGAAACTGGGAATTTAAGGATCTTTTCAGCAACCAGCTGCCTAAGAAAACCTGAGTAATTCATTGTGTTTGAAGTGACTTGCCACTTCTGTCAACGTGCATGTGACCACAGTTGGTGTCGTGAATATTCTAAAAACAAGGTACTCACATGGGTCATTGTCCTGTACCACTGGGTGTACAAGACACTCTGATAGGTATCTACACAAGGCTAAAGGTTAAAAGTAACTGTGAATGATGATAACTGCAGCTAAGCCTGATGGAAATGAGATAGCTTGACCCAGAATGAAGGAGAAGAGGAAATTAGCAAAAGAGAAGGCCAAGACTGAGCTCACAATTCCTGATTGGACTCTTGTTTCCTAAAAACATCTTTCATAACCTTTTTCAACATATTTGGCTCAAAGAAGGGCTATAATGGATAAGACTACAGAAACCTTATCATTTTTCTCTACCCTTTTGTACTGGAAGGCTATTCTGAAAATATACAGATTCAGTAGAATTGAGGGACACTTAGTAAACTACAGCATGATTAGTCAGGCATGCAACAGAAGCTTCTTAAGCTAGTTCTGTCTTCTAGGAAAATATACAAATATTTCTCGAGATGTAGAACTCTGAGGCTGGTGAAAAAAGCATGTCAAAGTTAGCAAAATGTGTGGACAACTCCATCAATCCATACAAAAAGTACCACTCATATATGATACCAGGAGAAAGAGAGATTCTGAAACACTGATTTTAATTACAGAAGAGAGCTTAAAACTTTCTAAATTGTACCACTGAAAAAAAAAATTGCAATCACGGTAACATAAAAAGAAAAAAAAAGGCAACAAAGACAAAAAATCATTTAAATTAGAGAATGAGTCACCATTTTCAAAAAGGTCTTATATTTTTTATATTACTATGTGAGAAGTTATTTGTTTCTTTAATGTATGAATACAATTAATTAAACAATATAGTAACAATACAAGTTTAACTTTTCAGGATTTAAGTAAATGTTCCTTATTTCAAAATAAACAAATAAATGCAGCTTACTGATTTTCTTATGGTATCTCCAATGATCACACCTGTAAAAGTCTCCCATTCCTAGGTAAAATAAATGAAAAAATTAGATAACTCAGATGACATTTTTAAAGTAGCACAAAGGCAAAACAAGAAGACAAACAAATTAAAGCCTAGATTCTGAAAGAGTTATAAGATTTTTAAAGCTCTAGGCAATAATACCAGTGTGTAATTCCTTTTGCAGAATCCAAGCTAAGTGACTGCAGTGCTTTATAAGAAAAACAAACTAAAGTAGAAGCCCTGTCCTTTCTCAGCACCCACAGCTCCCACCCAGATTGTCTAACTATAAACTAACAAGAAGCAACATACGTGGCTGGCAAGGACACACATATTTCCTGACAGGGCATCAGCAGCCCACACAGAATCACAGAATCATTAGTTGAAAGAGAACTCTAAGATCACCAAGTCCAATCCAATACCACCATACACACTAAACCATGTCCTCAAGTGCCATATCCACACACATCTTGAACACCTCCAGGGATGGTGACTCCACCACCTCCTTGTGCAACCTGTTCCATTGTTTGACCAAACACAGAACAGATAACTACAGAATCCATATTTCAGCAGTGTTTCATATTACTGTATCCAAAAGACACAGTTACTAGGACAGGAGGAATACTTAATAAAGGATTGGTATTATGAATACTTTACATTAAAGAGGGAAACTATAAACTGAATTTATGTATGATGAAATCTTTTAGACTTGGTCTTTGTATCCAGGAAGACAGCTTTTAATCATTTTAAGAAAAAAAAGCTAAGTATTTTAAAAAATACTAGAAATGACCATCAAGCAGATCAACACTCCCGCTCAATTTAGTATCATCTGCAAACTTACTGAGGGTGCACTTGATCTCCTCATCCATGTCATTGATAAAAATATTAAACAGAACTGACCCTAACACTGAGCCCTGGGGAACACCACTTGTGACCAGCCTTCAACTGGATTTAACTCCATTCACCATCACTCTTTGGGCCTGGCCATCCAGTCAGCTTTTTACCCTTTCCAGGTCACATGCAGCCAGTTTCTCCAGCAGAATGCTGTGGGAAATTGTGTCAAAGGCTATACTAAAGTCTAGGTACACTACACCCACAGGCTTCCCCTCATCCACTAAGCAGGTCACCTTGTCAGAGAAGGAGATAAGATTGGTCAAGCAGGACCTGCCCTTCCTGAACCCGTGCTGACTGGGCCTGATCGCTTGGTTGTCTTGGGTGTGCTGTGTGATGACACTCAAGATCGCAGAATCACAGAATATTAAGAATCGGAAGGGACCTCGAAAGATCATCCAGTCCAACTCCCCTGCCAGAGCAGGATCACCTAGACTAGGCTGCAGAGGAATGCGTTTTGAATGTCTCCAAAGAAGGAGACTCCACAATCTCTCTGGGCAGCCTGGTCCAGTGCTGAGTGCTGAGGGAGCACTCAATCCCCTCATCCAGATCATTGATAAAGATGTTAAACAGGACTGGCCCCAAAACTGAGCCCTGGGGAACACCGCTTGTGACTGGTCACCAACTGGATTTAGCTCCATTCACCACAACTTTGTGCTCAGCCATCCAGCCAGTTTTTAACCCAGCAAAGCATATGCCCATCCAAGCCATGCCCAACCAGCTTCTCCAGGAGGATGCTGTGGGAGACGGTGTCAAAGGCCTTAGTAAAGTCCAGGTAGACAACGTCCACAGCCTTCCCCTCGTCCACCAAGCAGGTCACCTCGTCATAAAAGGAGATAAGATTATTCAAGCAGGACCTGCCCTTCCTGAACCCATGCTGACTGGGCCTGATTGCTTGGTTGTCCTGCATGTGCTGTGTGATGGCACTCAGGATGATTTGCTCCATCACCTTCCCTGGCACTGAGGTCAGACTGACAGGAGTGTAGTTCCCTGGATACTCCCTCCACCCCTTCTTGTAAATGGGCATCACATTTGCCAACCTCCAGTCGAGTGGAACTTTCCCAATCAGACAGGACAGCTGATAGATGATAGAAAGTGTTTTGGTGGAGCACCTCCGCCAGCTCCCTCAGGACCCTTGGGTTGATCCCATCTGGCCCCATAGACTTGTGTATGTCTAACTGGCAGAGCAGGTCACTAACCATTTCCTCATTCAGAAAGATTCAGAATGATGATGTCTCTACTAAGAGACAAGGCATTCTATAGTATAATGTTGAAGTTGTACTACAAATTTCACATCACTATGCAAAAAAATTCTTAAGTGCAGACAGTTGAACTCTTTTGGGACAAGGACTTGGAATACTGAATTCTTTAGCAGCATAATAAACAACTTATAGCCTCATTGCATTAAAAGCTTTAAAAGAAGTAACTTTAAAAGAATAAATACTTAAGCTTCATTTTCCTCAATAAAGATTTTGCACAAGCACTCTTTTCTTAACAACTTAATTAGAATAACTTCTAACTTTCAGAAAAGTAAGAATTACTGATATTATTTGCCTGGTTTCATTCCTGAGTATTCAGTTACTGCAGAAATGTGCATTATATGCAACCTAGACTAAGCTGGTTAAGCTGATGGAAATGCACACTAACCAACAGCAAGCAACACACAGAGCAGTACTTACAAATACTTAAGAAGCCTAGGCAGCTAGGCTTTCATTTAGTCAGAAAATTATTTGCAAGTTGTTGCCTTCATGACTTTATAAAAGACTAGAAAGATAAAGCAAGAAATTTTCAGAAGCTCAAAATAAATAAAAAATATGAAATAGGGAAGTTCTAATAATGAAGACTAGCCAGGGCATGCCTCTACCAAGAACAATAATATGAGATATTTTTAGCAGGCAGCTTCATTGCTGAAAGACTGTGGGATTTCACTTGGTCAGTCCATATGTCTGCAATAAAACTACATTGCATTGATAACATCTACAAGTTTTAACCATCCTTTCTTAAGCCTTGTACTTTGCACCTTAAATGTACATCCTTCATATAATAAAGTTCCATTACTTCCTTCAAATGTATTATCTGATTTTTACCTTTTACCCCACAATGGACTCTCCTCTACTGAACTGACATCTACTACCATTAGATACTCCAGATCTCCAGCTTCTGGTACAGAAAGCCATAGCATTGTCTTTCCATTCAATGTAGGTATTTTAGATAATTAAACATGTCTTGATTCATGCTAATCGGCCACATTTAAGCAATAGTATTAAGTCAGTTGTGCATATTGTTCTACTGCATTTCAGGAAGACTTTTCAGTTTACATGTCTTTAACTGCAGGTTGCAGAATCAAAATTTTCCTTAATTTCTTCCTAGGTCTTGCACTCCTTTTCTGCATTTCAATACCAAGGCATGATGTGCAAGAAGCCCTTGGTCACAGTGAAACAGATGTGTATCCATCACTTTACTTAAAAAAGGAATATCTGTATTTAACTGGAAGGATAGCCAAATGTTTACCCACATGGTGGCTGGAAACACTGATACAGTGTCTGCAAAGAACTGCAAGAATCCTAGATAAATATGTTTTTCAGATCCCTATTTAAAAGGCAACCATTTACCTACCTTTCTCATGGTAATCTTTAGTTTGAACCTGATAAATACAATGTTGACATCCAAAAGTAACTATCACAGAAAAATAGCCTATAAGTCTAAAATCCAGAGTCCTACACTTACTGACAAAAACATTTTATCTACTTATTTACTCTTCATATTAAGTTTAAGTAAATCACTTGGGGATTTTCTCCTCTAGCACTTACATTCTCTTGAAAAAGTTCAGGGTGCATTCCTCGTACAAAATGTAGAGCAAACATTAGCTGATCAGCCTGAAACAAAAGCATAAATATGTATTCATATGTTCATCAGAAGTCACCTTTCTGCTTTTTAAATAAGTAACAAAATTTCATTAATAAAACACTTCTAATTCCATAACAGTGAGTTAATGACACATTTCCTAATTCAAAATTGCTACCTACCTCTGCAACTTAGAGAGAAACACTAACTCAAACCCTGTATCTAAGTATATCTAAATTCAAGTGAAAAAGAAAAAACAGGTACTTGCAGTAAAGAAAACATACTAAACAGAGTCCATTTTTTTCAAATTGTGCATAGGAAATGATTGAAATCTTCTTATAGCAAATCTCTGAAACATAACTTTGAAAAAAAAATCAACTGTAACCTTCTGACCTTTTTCTAGGTCTGTTACAACTCTTGAATTTCAACCAATCTCTGGGCACTGGAGCAATAAACAAAGAAAAAGGATTTTCTGGAGCCACAACATGAACTATACAAACATTTAAGAATATTTTTTAAAAGAATATGGGCTTGTTAGAACTGGGATTCATAGAATCATTGAATGGTTTGGGTTGGAATGGTCCTTAAAGATCATCTAGTCCAATCCCCTGCCATGAGCAGGGACACTTATGTCCATACACAGAAACTTACTATTTTTTTTGTTATCGATGAAGGACTGGAGGGCAAACAAGCCCCAGCTAGGAAGTAGGGTCAAACTGTGCAAAGCACTAAAGTTCTCTTTGTATTGATAGAAGAAAATACGTCCATGAACATCATATGACTCTGAGAACAACTGCCATGGAATGCCTGAAGTCCACTCCATTCAACTCTTTCATTCTCGTATATGAGGTCTGTAAGCAACTCCAAATCCAAACTGCCCATTAGAATGCTCCCTGGATGATTCAGTATCCACAACTTGAACAGGAAGCATAATAACTGGCCCAGGTAAAACCTATTACAGCAACTGTTTTCACAAAATAGCAGCACAGGTGGGCCAGTTCCAGTGCTCAGGAAAATTTCTTGGCACCATTTCCCTTACTTGCGTACATGAAGTCTATGTACACACAAACATAAACATTAAACACAAACAAACAAAACCATCCTTCCCAATTCTAACACTTTTAAAAAGGTATAAATTTGTATCAGCTATACCATTTAGGGAGACACTAGTAAAGCCTCAGTGTCACAGCAGTCTTTAAAAATTTGCATGAATAAAAGACAGAATTAGCAGTGGATTGCTGATGGAATGAGGAGCTTATTCTCTCAACTATCAGAACATGATCCTAAGCAGGATGGACCATTAGTCTGAAGCTCCACATTAACACACTTTCAATATTTTCTGAACTCCAATCTGATAATTCACAGTGAAAATCCTTCCTACTAAAAATCTCCTCTCTCTGCCTTACTTCTGAAATCTTTAATCTTTTCTAATATATAAAAATAGCTGCCTTCTAGATGCGATGACTTATCTGAAGGCTTCACATACTCATGACTTCAAACACAGACATTAAATTATTATGAGAATATTTCATGAGAACCCATTTGAACTTTGATAAACCAAAATCCTTAGAAATAACTGCTACCTCTGCATCCTCAACATGAAGTTGCTAGACTTGGGGGAGAGGGGAGGAAGTGTTGTAAAATTTCCCAAGATACTCCATTCTCACTGATCAAACACCAGACTTGCACGATCTGTACTACTGATCAAATCATCTATGCAGGCCTACTATGCATTCTTCAGACTGGTACTATGAGACAGACACCTCCTGCTAGATCTGTTCCATGTGAAAGTAAAAATTAAAATTGAAAGTGAAAATCATATCTATCCTAGGTTTTCAACAAGAAAGCAAGAAGAGAAAAGACACTTGATCCAAATACAGAGCAAAGAAGAAATACATTAAGAACATTACATGGAGGAACAGGGGAACAACTTGTAGAGAGAGAGAAAAATGTCACAAAGTCCAAGCCACGTAGCTGCATGCCTGGAAGCATGAAACCAAGCACTGGGGAGGTGGCAAGCACTGGGCGAGGTGGCAACCATCACTAGATCCATATCTGGTGTCAGTTGGATGCCTGGAGGAGTGTGAAATCAGGCGGA